CCCGTGTAGGGTTGTGATGAGGGTTAAATGAGGTAGTTCCTCTTATTCCCACTTTTCAGTGAGATTCTGGAGGCTGGGAGGAGTTACAGGGTCATCCATGGCCACTGTGCTGGTGATCCTAACCCCGGACTGTGCGCCTCCTTAACCACTAGGCTGCACTGCCCCTCACTTATCTGAGGAGGTGAGGGATCCCCCTCCAGTCTCCCCTGACACACTTGTGTCCTGAGGGACGCTGCCTGCGCCGCAGCTGAGGACACGGTTTCCAGAATTCCTGTCTGAGCCCTTCTCCAGGGTCCTTCAAAGGGCCCCAAATCTCTACTGAGAGGCCTCGGGGAGCTAGGAGGGGGAGCTGAAGCCTTTGCAGCCTCTCCACGCCCCCCACCTCCACTTCCTTCCTCGGACGTTCCTGGCTGTAAATATTCCTGCAGCTCCGAAGCGCCTTTGACCAAGGCCCAGTGTTAATTTGTTAAATCCACATCAAGGTCCTGGGGACCCACTGTTTGTTTTTGGGAACGTGTTGGCAGAGATCACATTGGGGTGGGGGGGCTGCTTATTTGGTCAGAATAAATGCTAATTAATAAAAGTTATTTATTTGGGTTGGAGCTCGCCGCGGCCCTGGGGTCAGGCGCAAACTGACTATTTGAAGCAAAAACAAACAGAACGTCTCTCTCCCCGGCTTGAGAAAGGCAGAAACGAAGAGGCTGGGTTTATTTGTCTTAGGAAGAATTTGCAGTTAATTCCCTCCAGACTATTTAGACCCTTAAATTACACGGAATAAGAACAACCATGGGTGCAGGGGAGGGGAGCCAGCCACACTTGATCCTTTGGCTGAGAGCAGAGTTTTTACGTCTTCAGCCCGCAGTCAGCCAAATAAATGGTATGTGTGAAATAATTTAATGGCAGAAAACTGCACCAGTCACCTTTTTTTCATCGTAATGTAATCGAGGACGAAGTAATTTGGGTTTTAAGGGAGAGAGCACTGGGCAGGCCTCCCCCATCTGAATACGTTTATCTGGTCCCCGATCCAGGCCCTCACAATAGCATCTAAACAGCCCGGGTAAATGGAGGGGGTTTCAGGCTTTATTAGTTCTAATCTCAGAGAAATGCAGAACTTTTACTGAATAAGAGGAAACTTTGGGCACCGTCCGACTTGGACAGAGCAAGCCCCAGCGCTGGCTGGCCTGAGGCTTTGTGAGTATTTATTATTTTCCAACTGCTTTCAGCCCAAGCGTGGAGCCCCCTGAGGGACATACACGCCCACCACGGTACATTTGTCAAGAGGTGATTCAGGAACTTTACGTAATAAATATCCGGCACATCCGCTGGGAAGCAGAGGCCAGCCCCAGGGCCCTGGCTGAGTCCAAAGCTGTGGGTTCAGGTCCTGGGTCACCTCCAAGACGCTGCCTGCATCTTCCTCAACGCGGCTGCCTCTCCCACAGAGGAGGAGGCACACAGCAGGGCCTGCGGGCCCGTCTTTCTATGTGAGCTGGCGTGAGGGGACCAGAGGACCAGGGAGAAAGATCCTTGTCTTCCGGTGCAAAGCGGATTGCACACAAGCGATAACGCTAACGACAGCGAGCACGTATCGAGCAATTACTATGCTCTTGGCACTGGGTTAAGCTAAGCTCCTTGCAGGAACTTTGGGGGCCCTCGGGCAAGCCACTGTCCCTCACGGCTCCCAGAGATGAGATCTTCCTTTGGAACAAAGAGGTGCCAGGGGCAGACTTCCCACCGGCTGGGATGGAGAGGCAGGGACATGTCTGCACCAGCGAGATGACGTGAGTGGAGGCCTCTTTCTTCGGCGCCTCCCAGAGCGGGGGCTAAGAGCGTGACAGACCCCCGGGTCACCTTCCCCAGGAGGGAGGTGGATGAGGGGGGAGACCCCCATGGAGACAGGGTGGCTGCGCCCTCTGACAAACACTCCCATCCCAGGTGCACAACCTCGGAGCCTCAGTTTCCCTGTGTGTGAAATGGGGGAACACTCAGAGGGCGGGTGCGGGGAGCCAGTGGGGGGAAGCAGCTGGAGGGCTTGGCACCATTCCTGGCCCAAACCAACTTTTGTTGAGCGCATCCCTCAGAGCCGCCTTGAGGGGAAGGCAGGAGGGAGCCGAGTCCAGACCCCCGTGGAGCCCAGCTGGCCTTGGTGTAGCAGGGCCTGCGGCTCCTGGGGGGCTGGCGACAAATGCCTTTGCGTGAGGGTTTCAGCTCCGAGTCACCACGCCGTCTGGCGAAGAGGAGTCGTTTCTTCCGGCGCCCACTTGGGGGGGCAAAAGCTGCAAGATGGTTTTCATTTCAACACCCTCAGTTGAAATGCTCAGGAACGTCCCCAAAATGTCTCCTTTTTTGGCTGAGATGCCTCCTGCGTTGGGTGTGTGCCCAAGCAGCGTGGCCTGAAGGGGGATGGAAATCGGCTCTGTAATGGCTAGTGTTCCAGAAGCTTCTGTCCCGCTTTTGGGCTATGGATCACCACTGGATTTTCAGTGCAGGGCCCTTGTTGTTTCAGTTTAAGGTTTCTTCCCCCTCAAGGGAGTGGGGGTGGAGAGATGCTCACAGGCCCCAGACGCTCTCATCCATCTTCTCCTGTTCTTGGGGGAGGAGGTGAGGAGTGAAGACTGAAGCCGTTCAGGAGAGGAGGCCAGCACCGGGGGCCACTCCGTGTTCCTGCCACTGCCTGCCCCACCCCCACACATGTCTCGTGTGTTTGCAAGGACTTCCCAAATGGGACAAAGTACTGAACGGACTCCTGGTCGTCCGTCTAAATTAGGGTTTCTCACTCCCGGCACTTTGGACATCTCTGACAGTCACAAGTGTCTCTGGACGTTGCCAGATGTCACCTGGAGGCAAAATTGCCCTCAGCTGAGGACCACTGGTCCAAACCCAGCTGCAAAGTCATCGGGTACCCTCCCCGATTCCTGCCTGCCAGCCCCCATCCTCCTGCCACAAGCATTTCCGAGCCTCCTGGAACAATCGAGCCTCAAATCGCATCAGTTGGTTGCCCAAGAGTCAGTAAGCCCTGCTAACCTGGGGGCTTGTTCAAAAGCAGGGATTGAGAGGAGCCCGTCGCTGGGCCTGGAATGTTCTAGATGCTCGGATGAGCAAAGGCCCAACACTGTGCAAAGAACATAGGACGTATAAAGGGAATGTGTAACCAGGGAAGCAAAACTACAAGGTAGGGATAACATCCAAAAGGTTGACAACATGCTCTGTTGACCACACTGGGCAAAACAGGCCTTCCCAGACACTGCTGATGGGAAGCCTTCTGGGGGAATTTGGCCACATCTAGTGTTTTACTCATTGGCCCAGCAAACCCATTTCTAGGAATCTGTCCCAAATATGCGTTGGCAAAAATAGAAAATCATGTTCGCATGAGGCTATTCATTGTGGCACTCGTTAGTTGCAAAAGGTTGGAAACACGCCAAGTGCCCCTCGGTAGGGCTCCGGTTGAATAAGCCACGGGACCGTCGTAAACGGGTGCTGCGGAACTGTGAAAGCAGCGTGAGTGATGTCTGTGCCCTGGACGGAGGAACCTGGGATATATTGCTAAGCGGGAAAAAAGTGAGGTGCAGAACAGTGCACGGTATGCTACCTTTTGATGGAAGAGGGGGAGAAAACATACATATTGTATTTGCAAAAAGTAATGCTGGAAGAGTAAACGAATTTAAAAAATGGGAGGGAGGGAACAAGAGGGAAAATAGAGTATGGAAAACAACCCAAATAGAGAAGGTCGGGTTGTACCGGGAGGGAACGGCATCTGGGACATTATTCAATGAAAATAGGCAAGTTGAGGCACCAGTGTATTCAGCACGATCTCATGCTTGTAAATTTTTTAAAATATAAGTTTGTAATCTTGTAAAGCGTGGGGAGTGGAGTTGGGGAGAGGGGACTATTTTGTTTTACTTTTTACCTTTCTCTGGTGTTTGAATCTGTTACTGTGACAAAGAGTGATATTCCTTTGTTATTTAAATATACATTTTTAATAAGAAAATCAGATGCAGAAGGAAGTGCCAGACTGGGCAGTGTTGTTTCTAAGTGCTGTGTGAATGCAGTGGAGGGAAGGGGATTCCATGTGGACTCAGGTGGTCAGGGAGGGCTCCCTGGCGGAGTGGGCAACGAGCTGGGCCCTAGGGGATGAAGGGTCAACAGTTCTGCCCCTAGATAAAATTTAAAGGTGGCAACGGTCAGCTGAACACCCTCCAACCTGTCTCCTCAAGAGACAGGATGGTCCTGAAGGTGTTAGTCGCTGACCCCATGCCTTCCCCAGAGTTGTGCTGGGCATCCTTACCCGAGCTGCTAATTCTGCACCCCAGGCCAGCACAGACCCTTGATCAGCTCCCTTGCTGGGATTCATCCCCTGGTCCTTCCCACCTCTTGTGCCTTGCCTCGAATGCCTTCCCTCTCTCCCTCTGGTCAGATTGGAGAACTCTTGTACATCCTTCAAAACCCACTTCAAGCACCACCTCTCCTGAGGAGCCTCTCCTGATCGTCTCCCCGTTGCCCACCAGAGCTGAGTATCCTCCTGCGCCCTGGCACTGGGTGTCTTATTCTGGGGCCTGCCTCCCCTGCTGATGAGTCCGTCTGATTCATCTCTGTCCAGTACCAGCACGGCCCCTGGCACACAGTGGGTGCTCAGGACGCTGAGAGATGCCCTTTGGCATTGTGGGCCCTCTGGAAGGCTGGTCTCAGCAGCTGGCAGGTTAGGTTTGGTGAACAGGACCAGGACTCTGGTGGCAGACTGGTGGTTCAAGTCCCTCCTGTCTAGAGGATCCCTGTGAGCATCCAGTGATCTGTGCTCAAGGGCCCGCATGCAGTGTGCCCTCAGAACTGTGCCTCTCGCTGCTCCTTATTCTGTGTTGTTATAATTCCACAACAAATACTGACGGCCGGTTTACATGCCCCAGAGCCCGGGCCAGGTGCTGAGGACACTCGGGCGTCTCCCGGGCCCTCCCTGACCAGGTCAGTTGTCCCTGGTGCCAGCAAGTGCCTGTCCCCTGGCTCCACAGGAGAGGGCCCTGGCTGCTTTTGTTCACCGTTACACCCCCGACCCGCTCCCGCACCCCCCCGCCCTGTGCTGTGCCTGCCACATGGTAACCGCTCAGGAAATACGTGTTGAAGAATGAATGAATGGATGGAGGCGCGAAGGAATGAATGCAGGAGTGATTTCAAGGGAAGCGCTCCTGCTCCGGGGGCGGGACCATCCATCTGCAGGGAGAGACACAAGGAAAGCGCTCAGTGCAAACTGCCGAGAAGGTGCCCGAGTCGTGTCCGTGTCGGCGCCTCGGGGCGCAGGGGCGGCCTGGCCGGGCCGGGGCGCTGCGGGCACGGTGCGCCGCCGCCACCCTGCTGACCCTCGGGCCCCCACGCCCCGCAGGTGAGTGTCCCAGCCCGGGGCGCGGCGGCGGCGCCAAGCGGAGGAAGAAGCAGCGGCGGAACCGCACCACGTTCAACAGCAGCCAGCTGCAGGCGCTGGAGCGCGTGTTCGAGCGCACGCACTACCCCGACGCCTTCGTGCGCGAGGAGCTTGCCCGGCGCGTCAACCTCAGCGAGGCGCGCGTCCAGGTGAGCGCGGGAGCGGGCGGCCACCACGCGCCCAGGGTATGGAGCGGCCCAGGTCGGGTGTCTAAGAGCAAGGAGCATCTGAGGCCGGGAGGGCTGAGGTTCCAATCCAAGCCCTGCCACTGACTAGCTGTGTGACCTTGAGCAAGTTACTTAACCTCTCTGTGCCTTAAGTGGCTCCCTGTAAAATGAGGATCCCATGGGTCTGTTTTATAGGGTTCTTATGGGAATTAAAGGACTTAATATATTTGTAAAGAGTTTAGAGCAGTGCCTGGCACAAAAGGCTTTAATAAATAAAAGTCATTTTAAAGTGTTGAGTGCTCACTCTCTGCCAGCTCTGAGCTGGGTGCTCAGCATGCCCCTCTCTCATTACAGCCTCACCACGGCTAAGTGCTCATTCATTCACTCACTTGCCGGTTCCCCAACATGCTTACCCAGCAACAGGCACCATTTATCATGCCCACTTTACAGAGGAGGAAACTGAGGCTCAGAGAGGTGAAGCTGCCAGCCCGGGGTTGGAGGCAGAGCGGGCACACACTGGGGCCAAAAGGACTTGGGTCCCCTCTGCAGCCTGTGGCACCCTGCTCCCCCCACCCCCGCCCCAGGTCTGGTTCCAGAACCGACGAGCCAAGTTCCGCCGGAACGAGCGAGCCATGCTGGCCAGCCGCTCCGCCTCGCTGCTCAAGTCCTACAGCCAGGAGGCCGCCATCGAGCAGCCCGTGGCTCCCCGGCCCAGCGCCCTGAGTCCCGACTATCTCTCCTGGACAGCCTCTTCCCCCTACAGGTGAGAGCGGCCCCTCAGGGCGGGAGGGGGGCCCTCTGGGGCCCTCTGGGGCCCAGACTCCTTTGAGGATCTGAAGAGAGCCATGAGCGGTGCCCAGGTACCCTTTGGACCTGGGGTCCACAAGTGACGTGTGGGCAAGTGTGTGCTCATGAGTGTGTGCATGTGGGTGTGTAAGAATATGCGTGTGTATGTTGCATGAGTGTGAGCATGTGTGCATGAGTGTGTGCATTTCCACATCAGCGTGTGCACAGGATTGTGAGTGTGCATGTGTGTGCCTGTGAGTGCACAGGAGTCTGTGTGTGCATACGTGTGCACACGAATGAGAGCGTGTGTGTGAATGTGTGGAGAGGCGAGAAGACAAGGACTGTCTGGAACCTTCACCCTGAGGAAATTGAAAACCTGCAGGAAGATTCCTAGGCTGGCCCAAGAGCCCCAGCCCCTGTGTGGACCCTCCAGGCGAGAAACTGAGGCTGGCAGGGCTGAGGGAATGGCAGTCAAAGCCGGAAAGGCTCCGAGGTGGCAGGGCAGGAAGGAAGAGGGAGGAGGTGCGACAGAGTTGTGTCTCTGTACCCCACAACTCCAGGGGGCACCACCCACCCCTTAATCTGTGTGAGCAGCTCTGTGGTCTCATTGGAGGCGCAATCCAGCAGGTCAGCTTGTAGGATCTGAGTCCTAGTGACCCCACATTAACCTCACAGCTCTCCCAACTCCCTCCCTGCCCCGTCCCTACCTGGGCAGGAGAACGACCAGAGGCATCCTGAAATCCAGGTGTGTGTTCATCCCCCTGCACCCTGCTTTGGCCAGGCCCAGTGCAGGCGCCAGGGGTGAACAGGACCCAGCTCTGCTCTCAGGAAGCCCCTGCTCCAGTGAGGAATGCCACAATCCACAGAGGTGGCTCTGTGCCCAGTGCTGACCGAGGGCGCTCTGACTCCTCTCCAGATCCTGAGCCCAGGTCGCCCCCCACTCCCAGGGGAAGGCTTCCCAGAGAGTAAGCTGACGAGAGGAGCAGGAGGACCGGAGGCTGGGGTCTGGGACTGACAGCCAGAAGCGATCCACTCCGGGCAGCACGCCAGCCTCACCAACATGTCCTTGTGTCTTATGTCGCCCACAGCACAGTGCCCCCCTACAGCCCTGGAGGCTCAGGCCCCACGACCCCGGGGGTCAACATGGCCAACAGCATCGCCAGCCTGCGCCTCAAGGCCAAGGAGTTCAGCCTGCACCACAGCCAGGTGCCCACGGTGAACTGACGGCCGCCCCCAGACCCGGCTGCCCCCGCTCTCACAACAACCAGAAAGGGGGCAGACGTGAGGAAAGTGACCTTCTGTCCCCTGTCCCCAGGACAGGCTGGGTGGACTCTCCTGGCCCCTCTCTCCAGCCCGGACTCCTGGGCCTGAGCAGCTGCTGAGACTCCGGGAGCCCAGCTCAGCCCCTCGTCCACGGCCACTGGAGACCTCGGCCCGTGACCGGGGGGGCTGGGCTGGAAGGTGGAGAAGAAGCTCACCAAGGACCTCACTCACTTTGTGTGTGAAAACCAAAAGGCTCTGTCTTTAAGAAATAAAAAAGTTTTTAAGCCCCAAAAGGTTGTGGGAGGGCAGATAAGTGCAGCAAACCAATTGAGGGCCGGCCTTCTGGGGCCCTGCTCTGGTCAGCGGCGGTCATGGGGACTGCCCTGGGCCTGGCCCAGACCAGGAGCCACGGCAGGGCCAGCCGCCCTCGTATCTGTGCCTCCTTCTGAACAAGGTCCTCCCTCACCCTGCAGAGCCGAGGGGTGGGGGGGGGGGAGGCGGACAGAGACCTGGACCCCACGGACACCCAGATGCTGTGTGACTTGGGGAAGGACCCCTCCCCTCTCTGGGCAGGGAGTGTCTTCTGTGCCCTATGGGGCGGGGCAGGGTGGGTGACCATGGATTCCTGGACTGGCCAGAGAGTGGGTGGGCAGATGCTGGAATTAAATCCCTTGCTTCACGCAGAACGTGTGGGACCCCTCTGGGCATTTGACTGTGGAGGGGCCTGGGCAAGCGGCCCAGAAAGTGGGGTGCAGAGTGGAGGTCCCGGGCGGGCTCACAGGACAGAGGAGTGGTCCTAACAGCCAAGTCCATCAGAAGACCTTCTCCCAAGTCCCCCAATCCATCCTTTTGCAGATGGTAACTGGGGACGACAGAGGACATATGCGCCACCAGCCAGTGACATCACTTATGAGGAGTCTGCCAAAAACCATGGGGTGAGGGGAGTGGTCTGAAGCCAGCCCCTCCACCTGGCCCCATGCCCCGCCTCCTGATGGGAAGTGAAGGGACCATTTCTGCTAGAAGTAACCTCGCCAGCCCCCAGGAAGTAGGACAGCCCTCCCCGACCCCAGAGGGTGCAAAGATGACCAGCCCCCCGGGGGGCCAGCCCTCACACTGACACAGTGATGACACCCCAGTGGAGTCAATGGGCTGGGCCTCTTCCCCATAGTCTGCCCTGCCCGCCCTGCATCAAAGTGCCCCCAAAATGCCAGCGTTCCCACCTGCAGCTGCCTCTCCAAGATGACCTCCGACAGGTCAAAGCCACGTGACAATCCTCACAGGAGGGACGGTCCCCGTTCTTGTGTTAGAAGGAATGGTGACGACACCCGTGAGTGAGGTGAGGACGTGCCCCTTCTCCCCCATTTCACCCCAAGGTATTCTTCCCCGGACTCCGCCTGGAGTTCCACTATGAAAACACGGTTCTTCTGGGTTGAGCGTGGCCCTCTTCGGATGCGCAGACACGCCGGGGGACTGGTGACCCCCACTCGCCGTGTGACTTCCTTGTGGCTGGACGGTTGGGACTCTGGTCAGCAGGAGACCCTGGGGCACCGACGAGCGTGAGGGAGGTGCAGGCTCCGGCTGAAGGTGTGGGGAGGGGGCTTTCTGCTGATGCCTTGAGCTGGCTCGGGCCCACCTGACCGCGGGGGCCAGAGCAAGGGAGAGACCTTTGCTCTGGACTGTGAGGGGGCCGGGGCCAGGGGTGCAGGGGGGCAGAGGCAGGGGGGTGCAGCCAGAGCTGTGTTTTCTTGCTCAGTGTGGCCTCTACCTTGGTAAGTGCTTTCTGGCCTCCGTTGCCCATTCATTCACTGAACAAACACTATGAAACACTTGCTGAGTGTCAGGGCCCTGCCCCCGGCCCTGGGGAGAGAGCAGAGAACTGACACAGGGGCCCTGGCTGCAGAGGCCTCACCAAGCACAGAGGGCCCCAAACCTAGTCTAAGGCATCTAGGCAGGCTTCCTGGAGGAGGTGTCCTGGAAGGATGAAGACTTCACTAGACAAAGAGAGGAGGGAGAATAGTGTTTCTGGCTAAGGGAACAGCGTGTGTGAAGGCCCTGAGGCAAGCGAGAAGCTGTCTCTTTGGGCCAGTGGGGACAGTGCCAGGGCTGGATCTCCTGGTGCGGGATGAAGGTGGAGAGAAGCAGGGGCCGGCTCCAGTGGGCTTGTGTGGCCAGATCTAGAAGTTTGGATGTCATCCTGGCAGCATGAAGGGGATGTGCTTGGTGGAGGGACCTGCCCGCTGGGCTCTGTGTAGAGGCAGAGAGTCCCCTGCAGAGGCGGGGGCAGATGTCCAGGAAGGAGGGACAGCAGTGTGAACCAGATGGGGACAGAGTGGGCGGATCTGGGATGTGTTCCGGATCCAGGAGGGCCCAGGAGGAAGAGACCCTGGAAACAGGTCCTGCCTGGTAGAGGTGTCGGGAAGACGCTGGCCTGCCCTTCCCCTAGACAAGAGCTGGGGCCCTCCTGGTCTGAGCAGGGTTCTCCCTCACAGGAGCTTCCCCTGTCCCCACCCCCTGGGGATTTGCACCAGCAAAGGGGCAGCCCACAGGGCCCAGAGCAGTGCCCTCCTGGGCAGCCAGGAAGAGCGGCCTCTTTCTTCCCCAGAAGCACAGGATGGGAGCAAGCGAGTGGACAGCCCGCCCAGGCACCCAGCCAGTGCTCCAGGGCTCCGATGGAGGCGCGTCCGGTCTTTTCCATTTTCAGTCCAAGGGGAGGGTGCCATGAAGCATGGCCAGGTTGGGGCGGCCTGCAGCAGAGATGGGGTCACACTGGGCGGGGAGCTCAGGCTGTGGGCCTGGAAGGCAGGTCCCATAAAGCCAGCTTTGGAAAAAGCCGGGGCCGGTTCCCACGGAGGCGCTGGCCCTGCCGTCGGGCTGCGAGGATGAGTGTCACTTCCTCCCTAGCGCTCTAGAGAAAACAAACCCCCTTAATCGTTTGCACATGCTGCCCTGGAGCCGAGGGAGGGGGCACAGCGGCCCTCCCGGTAAAATACACTCAAACAGCGCTGTCGCTATTGTGGCCCTAATTGCAGGGCTGTGTGGGCAGCTGCCCGGGCACCCGTCCCGGGATATAATTTTCCATGAGGATAAGGTACCCAAGGCCCCATCCCAGTCCGGGAGAACTTGGAATCCTCCTCTCTCTGCCTCCTTTTGCCTATTTGGCCCAGCAAGCTTGGAAGAGGGCATTGCGTGTACCTGCTCCTATTTTTTGTTTGACATAAAGGAACTTGAGTTGAGAGAGAAAAATCTAAGGAAGGGCAGTCTGGCTCTTGCAAAATCCAAAACCTGAGAAATAAAGAGCAGAGTGTTACCTTGGGTAAAACGCTCCTCTGAGCCTCAGTTTCCTCCTCTGTAAATGGGCACAGTAACAGAAGCCACCTCCCAGGGTTGGTGGCACAGTCACCCTCCACAAATGGGCGCTTTGCTGTTTATGGTGGAGGAGCCCTGGGTGAGAGGTGGAGTTTGAGGAAGTCAAAATACTCCCCGTCCTAGGACGAATGGCATTGCCCCTGCCCAGAGAACCGTGGACACGCGGCTCACGGGCTCTTCCCCTGTCCCTTTGGTGCCCACCCTCCTTGGGAACACCAGTGGGACCAAAGCAAAATGGCGCCCCTGCTCCTGCACCTCTGCCGCCCGCCGCTGGAGGGCACTGTGGGGTCACTGTCAGGCCCAGAACAGGGGAACATTGCCCTCTCCCCACAGGGCAGCTCCTGACCAGGCCTTCTCTTGAAAAACAAAGAAACAAGCAAATCCCCAACCACCAGCAGGGGTCACAGCACAAAAATGAGAGCAGGTCTTCCGGAAAATGTACCAACGGCCATGAATCTGTCCACGTGCTTTCACCCAGTCATTCCGTCTCTAAGCCCCACTTTGAGAAACAATCCAAAAGGGGGGAAAAAGGGTAACGTATCCCAAAATGTTTATCACACATTTCATACGTGCAGTGTAAAACATCTGGGAAGACACAAACCAAAATGTAAGTAGTATGAATTATTTTTATTTTTATTTATTTATTTATTTATTTTTGAGGAAGTTAGCCCTGAGCTAACATCTGTTGCCAGTCTTCCCCCTTTTTTCCTTTTTTTCTCCCCAAAGCCCCAGTAGATAGTTGTATGTCATGGTTGTACGACCTTCTAGTTGCTCTGTATGGGACACCTCCTCAGCATGGCTTGATGAGCGGTGAGTAGGTCCGCACCCAGGATCCGAACCTGCGAACCCTGGGGCGCCAAAGCAGAGCACGCAAACTTAACCACTACGCCACCGGGCCGGCCCCAGATTGAATTTTATAGTGGCTCACAGTCGACTTGTCTCTGTATTTTCTGTAACGTGGCTAATAACTTTACAGAGAAACAAGACAAGCAGGCCAGTGTAAGAGTCTCAGCTATAGAAGGAACTCTTTGAAGATAAAAGTGTGTTTTCTTCCCTTCTATGTCCCCCTTGGTGTCTCTTCCACACCTGTTGGGAAGTGAGTGGCCCCCATCCGAAGCTCTCTACTCCACTGTCTGTTATTCCACCATTAGTCCTGCAGGTCTTGGAGCTTTGTGGTCATCAGTAATTCCCTTCTACGTTGCAAGTGCTGGAAAGGATGTGTTTGAGAGCTTCTTAATTCTTAGTTCCCATCTTGGAAGAAGTGGGGATGGATTGAGCTTGGGATATGAGGAGTCAGACGTGGGCACCTTGAACTCAGAAGGCGAACTCAAAGGAGAGGTGGTGTGTAGGCATAATTCTAAGATGGCCCTGGGATTCCCACCCCAGGTAGCCACACTTTTGTGTAGTTCCCTCTGCTTGAGTGTGGTGGAACCTCTGACTTGCTTCTAACCAACAGAATATGGCAAAGATGAAGGGGTTTAGCAGAGGTGATTAAGGTCCCTAATCAGTTGAGTTTGACTTAATCAAAAGGGAGATTATCCTGCATGGGCCCTTTAAAAGAGAGTCCAGGTCTTCCTTAAAAGAAGATATTCAAAGCAGGGAGATGCTCTCCTATCAGCCTTGGAAAACAAACAGCCGTGTCATGAACTGCCTGTGGAGGGGGTGGCCCCTAGCAGCTGAGGGCCTCAGACTCACAACCGCAAGGAACTCAATTCTGCCTACGATCTGAATGAGCTTAGAAGAGGACACTGAGCTCCAGATGAGACCTCAGCCTAGAGGACCCCTTGACAGGAGGAGCCTTGTGAGACCCTGAGCAGAAGACCCAGTTAAGCTGTGCCTGGACCCCTGACCTACAGAAACTGTAAGATCATAAAGGGATGTGGTTTTAAGCAGCTACAT